TTGTGTTTTAATGATCTGTGCTAGAGACTGAATGTATCCCCCCAAAATACATAGGTTGCAGCCTGATCTCCACTGTGATGGTATAAGGAGGTGAGGCCTTTGGGAGGTGATTTGGTCAGGAGGGCAGAGCACTTATGAATGAGATTCAGGTGTTTATCAGAGGGACCCCAGAGAGCTCCCTTCCCGCTTTCTCCATGTGAGGGTACAGCAAGAAGTCTATGAATCAGGAAGTGGGCCCTTATCAGCCATCAGATCTGCCGGTGCCTTGATCTCAGACTTCCCAGCCACCAGAGCTGTGAGAAATACATTCCCTCTGTTAATCCGCCACCCACTCTGTGCTACTCTGTGACAGCAGCCCAAACAGACTCAGATCACCTGGGTTCTTTTTGCACTTTCAGCAGAGGCAGCAAACACTCTGGAGCAGCAAGTATCGTCTGGAAAGTGTGCTAGTGATGGGCCCGGCCACATCTAGTTCCGGAGAAAGGACACGTCTGAACAAGATGACGATGTTCTGAGGCAGGTGGGGGTGCAGGTGGCAGAGCAGTGAGTTCTGAGGTGGCAGAAGCCACTGAGCACACAGTACAGGCTGCAGGGCCAGCCTCCTGCCCTCCAGACACTCCTGCTTCCCCTCTGCCCACCAGACATGGCCCAGTCTTCCCCAGACTATGAGATCTTTCCCTTGATCTTTTTTTCCACATTGAACCTACTGTCCTCTTCCTCTCTTTTTGAACATTTGTAGAGATAACTCTAAAGTCATTTCTTCTCCCCACCTCTCAATCCCTGCTCATCCTCTGCTAGTCTGGTGTTGCTGCAGAGTGTTCCAAAACCCGCTTGTTGAGGACACCAATGGTTTCTTTATCTGTCAAGGGCTGCAGGAAGGATGAAGGAGGGGCATTCTCACAGGCACCACTCATAGTCTTGGCTTCGATATGCGTTCTCTCATTATCTAATTTCATCCTCACTACAACACTGTGAGTCAGGTGCTAAACCACCCTTATTTACAACCAAGGAAACTACAATGCAAAAAAGGTTAAGACACCCAGTCACATGGCCCCTGAGTCCAGATCAAGCTGAGGCCATCTGAGCCCAGACGGTTAACCACATGTGATTCTGCATGGAAACTGCAAAGAAGTGTTTCTGGAACAGATGAGCTGCTCCACAGTTACCATCCCTCAGCTCCCTGTGGTATTTGAGCCGGATCCTGCCTCATCAGCTTCCTGTGCCCCTTGACATCTGAGTGCTCCTGATCTCCACCTACCTCTGTGGCCTCCCTAGCACAGCTTGTCCCAGGCTCCTGATGTTAGACATTGAAAGAGTCCCAAAAGTGTGGCTTTGAGATCTCTTCTCTTCTTGACGTCCTTCTCCCAACTTTTCTCTCTACCCTCCCTCTAACTGCCACAATTCAAGATATAAATCTCTGGCAAACATCTCCAGCCTCGCTCTGCACTCCAAAAACAACTGTCTAAACTGTCCTCCCCAGCCGCCCTTCCCATGCACAATTCTCCTTCGAGCGCTGTACCTCCCCCAGCCCCCGCCTTCCCCGCACTGGTAACACCGACCATCTTCAAACATACAATGTCATTTCATAATCTCCTGTGTTTATTGTTTGTCTCCCTCTGCTTGAGGCCAAGTTCCTTGAAGGCAGAGGTTTGTGTGTTTGTGCACTGTGGTATTCCCAGCACCTGGAGTGTGCCTGGCACATAGTCACTCGGAAATTAAAAAAAAAAAAAAAAAAAAAAAAACAGCTGTCAACCGGTCATGCTGCCTGGAAGTGCCACTAGCCCTTCAAACTTAACATTTCCAAAACAGAATTCACCACCCTTCCCAGCCCTTGTCTTCCTTCTGCCTCTCCTGTCTGGGTTCGTTCAGTCAGACCCTGAGTTTTACAGACTGGGAATGTTGGAACTGTCCTGAACCTTGCTCTGCCTTCATGCCCCTTCTTCTAGGGACACACTGCTAGCTGCGGTGAGTTGTCTGCAGATGGTATGACCCCTGAGATTTTGCAAAACAGTGATCTCTGTACTCAAGGAAATCCCTTACAACGTTATTAGCGAGGCATTTTCCTAGATGAAACAACTGAGGACCCATGTAAGACTAGACAATGAAATGGGCGGCACAAGCAGTGTGGTGAGTGCAGCACAGCAAAGTCGGTCACAAGACATTGGCCTAGGCTAGGTGATCATTTTCCAAACATTGTCTTTTTTCTCCAAACACTTACAGAAGTGATATTCATCTTAAAATCAGCTTAAAAGCACTTGTACGACCGGGCACAGTGGCTCACGCCTGTAATCCCAGCACTTTGGGAGGCGAGTCCTGAGGTCAGGAGCTTGAGACCAGCCTGGCCAACATGGTGAAACCTCGTCTGTACTAAAAATACAAAACATTAGCCGGATGTGGTGGCGGGTGCCTATAATCCCAGCTACTTGGGAGGCTGAGGCAGGAGAATTGCTTGAACCCAGGAGGCGGAGGTTGCGGTGAGGCGAGATCACGCCACTGCACTCCAGCCTGGGCAACAGAGCGAGACTCCATCTCAAAAAAAGAAAAAAAGAAAAAAAGCACTTGTATATCCACATCTTTCAAACCTTCCAACAACCCTGTGAGGTCCGCTTCCACATTATTCCATTTTATGGACAAGAGAACTAAGGCACTGAGGTACCGAGGTGATCAGGGAAATTGTCTCCGTGGTCGTAAAGCCACAAAGCACTGAGGCAGGCTGATGCCTCAGCTTATACTCGCCCCCCGCACCCCACTTCAGGCTAGCCCTAGCTAACCTGGCCCTCCGCAGAATCTGGCCTGTTTTGTTTTTGTTTTTTGTTTATGTTTTCTAACTTTTCATTGGTTTTACTATTATCTGCCACAGGCTGTAGGCAAAGATCACTAGTTGCCTGCTCAATATTGATTCTCCCCTTCCTCCTTCCAGCGCTGGAAGTGGCAATGAGCCAGGATAAATGCACGTGCTTCCCAGACTCCTTGCAGGAAGGGGTGGCCAAAGCTGCACAATCAGAAGTTGTTAGGTGGAGATTCTGGGAAGACTCTTTAAAAGGAGCCGACACAGCAGTGAGGTACTCTTACCCACCTGACCTCTTCCTCCTTCTTGATGCCTGAAACTTAGACATGGTGGCTGGGATGGGAGCTCCACGCAGGCTGCAGACAAGGAGGGGATCTAAAGGGAGAAAGTCACCCTAAGGATGGTTGGCGCTGAAAGATGGGAAAATCCTGCATCTTTGACGGTCAAAGCTTCTATACCAGCCCAAGATTTCTTTTACACGAAAACAAACAAACATACAACCCCAGTCTTTTGAAGTCACTGTTAAATGGGGTTTAGGTTATATGCAGCTGAGCCACATACTAACTGATGCACTCTTCAAGAACAGGTTAATTAAGGCCTGGTGCAGTAACTCACATCTATAATCCCAGCACTTTGGGAAGCTGAGGCAGGAGAAGCACTGGGGCACAGACTCTGTCTCCAAGAAGAATTTAAAAACAAATTAGCCAGGCATGGTGGCATAGCCTGTGGTCCCAGCTACCTGGGAGGCTTAGGGGGGAGGATCGTTTGAGCTAGAAAGTCAGGGCTGCAAGTGAGCCGTGACTGCATCACTATACTCCAGCCTGGGTGACAAAGTAAGACCCCTGTCTGGAAAAGAAAAGGAAAATAAAAGAGAGGAGAATAGGTTAATTCGTCTCCTCAGCCATTCAACAGATTCACTGAGTGTCAAGGATTGTTCTAGGCTCTATGGAAATAAACAAACGAGGAGCTCCAATTTAAAAGGTTCTGTGTTTTCTACTTCTTCACCCTCACTCTACCCCTAACCACTCAGGATCCAGGGCTGACGAGCAGCAGGCTTTATTCCACCACAGTTTGCTCATTCCTGGGTAAGATCAATGACCTTCACTTTTGTATTCTCCCATCAAGCTCACCTTCTCCACGGATGGGGTGACTTGTGCTCCTGAAGCGAAGAGGTCACCTTTTGTGCTGTCTCCCCCTGTCAGAGCCACTTCTGGCCCATGTGTCTGTGTGTGAAGAGCAACTTCACGTGACCTTGGAATGTCCTTTAAGAGTAAGCCCCCAGAGGTCGGGAGCAAGAGGGCCGAATGGGAACAGCTCCAGCCTCCAGCTCCCAGCGCGAGCGACACAGAAGACAGGTGATTTCTGCATTTTCAACTGAGGTACTGGGTTCATCTCACGGGGGAGTGCCGACCAGCGAGAGCTGAAGCAGGGCGAGGCATCGCCTCACCTGGGAAGCACAAGGGGGAAGGGAATCCCTTTTCCTAGCCAAGGGAAACTGAGACACACAACACCTGGAAAACCGGGTAACTCCCACCCTAATACTGAGCTTTACCAAGGGTCTTAGCAAAGGGCACACCAAGAGATTATATCCCACACCTGGCCCAGAGTGTCCCACGCCCACGGAGCCTCCCTCATTGCTAGTACAGCAGTCTGAGATCTAACTGCAAGGCAGCAGCCAGGCTGGGGGAGGAGCGCCGGCCATTGCTGAGGCTTAAGTAGGTAAACAAAGCCTCCGCGAAGCTCGAACTGGGTGGAGCCCACCGCAGCTCAAGGAGGCTTGCCTGTCTCTGTAGATGCCACCTCTGGGGACAGGGCATAGTTAACAAAAAGCAGCAGAAATCTCTGCAGATGTTAATGACCCTGTCTGACAGCTTTGAAGAGAGCAGTGGATCTCCCAGCACAGAGGTTGAGATCTGAGAACGGACAGACTTCCTGCTCAGGTGGGTCCCTGACCCGAGTAGCCTAACTGGGAGACATCCCCCACTAGGTGCAGACCAACACCTCACACCTCACATGGCGGGGTACACCCCTGAGACGAAGCTTCCAGAGCAAGAATCAGACAGCAGCACTCACTGTTCAGCAATATTCTATCTTCTGCAGCCTCTGCTGCTGATACCCAGGCAAACAGGGTCTGGAGTGGACCTCAAGCAATCTCCAACAGACCTACAGCTGAGGGTCCTGACTGTTAGAAGGAAAACTAACAGGCTTTTGCAAAGGGCCCACCTTTCTGTTGTGGGAAGCTCCCTGAGGTCGCACGTGCGTCCGAGCCCAAGCCCCTCCCCTCCACTCCCCTCCCCGCTTGCCCTGGAGCCGCCAAGCGGCTGGCTGCTTCTCGGCCCGCCTAGATAGCGCTCGACCCCACAGACCAGCATCTCAGACATATGGAAAAAGATATTTTGATCCCTAAAATAATGAGAGAAAAGGCCAAAGAGAGGTGTTCTGAACAAGTTCAAGATTTTACCAAATGTTGCAAGAACTCTGGAGTTCTTATGGTAGTAAAATGCCGGAAAGAAAACTCTGCATTGAAAGAATGTCTAACTGCTTACTATAACGATCCAGCCTTTCATGAAGAATGCAAAATGGAATACCTGAAGGAAAGGGAAGAAGTCAGAAAAACTGGAATTCCTGCAAAGAAAAGGCTACAGAAGCTTCCAACAAGCATGTAGGCAGATACTCAAATGACATTCAGGAACTCTAATATTCATGGAAGTCATTTTCTAGTATATATCACCTTAAATAATGAACTCAAGCATGTATGTTTGCTTTAATTACGGAAATACTGAAATAAATATTTTATTTCAAAAAAGAAAAAAGAAGGAAAACTAACAAACAGAAAGGACACCCATACCAAAACCCCATCAGTACGTCACCAGCATCAAAGTCCAAAGGCTGATAAAACCACAAAGATGGGGGAAAAGCAGGGCAGAATAGCTGGAAATTCAAAAAATCAGAGCACATCTCCCCCTCCAAAGGAATGCAGCTCATCACCAGCAACGGATCAAGGCTGGATGGAGAATGACTTTGACGAGTTGAGAGAAGAAGGCTTCCGTCGATCAAACTTCTCAGAGCTAAAGGAGGAACTACGTACCCAGCGCAAAGAAACTAAAAATCTTGAAAGAGTAAGCCCCCAAAGGACTACTTCAGTCTGGCACTTATTCCGAAAATTTGCTACGTCTTGAAAATGTGTCCATTCATTCTAACCTGTTCAATGTATCACCAAATTTTGCAGCAGTAAGAAATTTAAAGATCATGTAGCTATATAGAACAGACTAATTTGTGTGTGTATGTGTGTGTATCTCATTTTCAGTGAGGAGTGTGATGGTTAATTTTATGTATCAGTTTAACTGCCCATAAAGTGCCCAGATTAAACATTATTTCAGGGTGTGTCTGTGAGGGTATTTCCAGATGAGGTTATCACTTGACTGGTGGACTCACTAAAATAGATCCCTTCCCCACTGAGACTGGGCATCATCCAGTCCATCAGGGGTCTGAATAGAACAAACGTGGAAGAAGGAGGGGTTTGCTCTGTTGTGCTCCCTACCTGCCTGCTTGAGCTGGAACATCTCATCTCATTGTCTCCAGTTCTTAGATTAGGATTTACACCATTAGCTCCTATGGTTCTCACCTTTTGGACTCAATTACACAACTACCTTTCCTGGGTCTTCAGCCTGCAAACAGTAGATTGTAGGACTTCTCAGCCTTCATAATCATGTGAGCCAATTCCATATATATATTTCCTAATGGTTCCACCCTAATGCAAGGAGATAGGGAAAATCACATAAATCTCTGGGCTCACTCTTCCTGTCATGGCTTGCTGCGTCTTGTAAGACATAATTACTTTGTCTTCTCCTTTCAATCTACCCCCCGACCAGAACCTCTGAATACAGGAAACACTCAAGTAAATGTCGATTCCATAAAACAGACCATCTGCTAACTACTAGCACAGTGGGGTTAACCCCAGGAAGGACCAGATAGATCTGGGCTCAAAACTGGATTTATCTTCTATGTAAAACTGGATGATTATATTTAATCCAAAAGAGTTCTCATATTTAGTAATATGGCAATGCCTGGCACATCATCGGTCCTCCATAAATGGGAGGGATCATTATGCACTCATCCATCCATCCACCCAACAAACATTTCCAAAATAACCGTAAATTCAGAGCAGTATACTGTCAGTGATAGACACTGGTCTTTCATTTTAGAGAACTTAGTTTTGCCATCCAAAATAGAAGTTAGGGGAAATTTTACCAGGTAAGAAGGTAAAATAGATTTTCCATCAAAGGGTTCCAGTGGCCACAAATCTCTGCAATGAGTGTGATTTATTTATTTATTTTCAGGCAAGGTATCACTCCACCTACTGGGCTCAAGCAATCTTCCCACCTCGGCCCCCAAGTAGCTGGGGCTACAGGCACAAGCCACTACGCTCAGCTAATTTTTGTATTTTTAGTAGAAACGGGGTTTTGCCATATTGGCCAGGCTGCTCTCGAACTCCTCACCTCAAGCAATTCACTTGCCTTGGCCTCCCAAAGTGCTAGGATTACAGGCGTGAGCCACCACACCCAGCCAGTGTGATTTATTTTAGTAAGAAACCAGATCACACCTCAGGCCCTGTGTGTATATGCCACTCCTTCACACAGCCCAACTGGAGCAGAAGAGAGCTGCCCTTTCAGTGAAGGACTCAAGGATGCATTCTTCACTTTCCATCCTGCTGGTACCCCTGCTGTAGCAGTTGACAAGCAGAAGCATTCAGGGAAGGACTCCGTCTCCTGCTCTACTGTGCAGGGGATGATGCTATGTTCGTATCAACAGGCCATATGGGTGTAGGATGCAACTGCTTGCACCATTGATTCGAGGGCTGTCTAAAAGAGTCAAGGAGAAGGAAATCCCACCTATGACATTCAGAGCAAGGAGGAAGATCAACTTGTTAATTTATGGTTTAGAGACTCATTTTTAGTATGAATTACAGAGTTTAGGGTGAAATGGTTAAGATGGACATATTACCTGTGCTCCCTTTAGAAAGGGAGCTGAGAAATTCTGGAAAAACCTTAAAAGATGGGTTATTCAAAAATGTATTTTCTATGTGTGTTTTATAAACAAAAAGCTTGCCTACTTTTGTACATTTTGCTGTTATTACAATCAGCTTTTATTTCCCTAATATAAAATAACAGAATAGTGTCAGGTTACAGGAGAGTATTTGGGTACTGGGATTCTTCCATTCATCCCTTTTTCCATTTGAGGAAGAGTCTACATATAAAAAACAATGGCCAAGGGGAATAAGGTATGACATTATTAATAAAATCTGGATAAACAGACAACACCACAACTCTTCCACACCAGAGAAGAAGGTTTCTCTGAGAAGTTGAGTTGCAGCCTGACTTAGGCTGGAAATTAAACGGGAGCCTACTCCCCCATCCCAGTAGAATCACAGGGTGTACAGCACAGGTTTCACTTCAGAGCTTTTGGATTAAAACTGATTAGCTCACTGATGAGCCAAGCTCTTATGCAAGTCGTTTGACATCTTTATCCTCCATTTCCTCTTTTATCATATCATTTATACTACCTACATAAGACCCAAAATGGCCTCTTGACCCTGAGGTTTCATTATTTGTTGCTTGGGAGAGCAGGAATCGTGCCTGTCTAATTCCACATTCTATTCCCAGGACAAAGATAGGACTGGATACAGAGGAAGTAGTCAATAAGTATTTCCTGAATAAATGTTGGTATTGGATCTATGCATGCAGTGCCCTAATTGATCAGGGAGCTTTGCATCTTGCCAAGTAGACCTTGAGACCTCACTTTACTCTTTAATTTCTCCAGAAACTACTAAATCTTCGGGACTCTCTCTTTCCCCTACTTGAACTTGATACTGTATCCTGGAGACTGCAGACATATAAGATCCCAGCAGAAGGCTCAGCATCTATTCACATAGAATCTGAATTTTACATCCGCTAGCTCTGGCATAATCATCTCTATAATATTGGTGTGCTGCAATTTAATACTAAGGAAAACCATCTTGCCATGTAACACATTCCCATTCTGAGTAGAAATGAAAAAAGTATTCACCATCCAACACTAAATACCTCCAAAACTCCTTTCATCTCTTTCTCTTCCTCCCTCCCCATCACAGAAACCTGCAAACTGGTCCCACCACTGAGCCTTTAGCAGACTGTAGACCATCCACTACTTCTCCCCAGAGTTGACACCTCCTTGTTGGCAAGTCAGGTTCCTTTTGTCCTAAACATGCTTAATGTGACAAACGTGTTTGCAACCCATCTTCTGTTTATGTGCCTATGTTGTGCTGTTTCATGTCTACTTCTGTTCTCTACTTTTACTGATGGGAAGTATTGATAGCTGTTCTCCCAATCTTGTGAGCAGCAAAACACTGAACAGTAAAAACCTGGTGAGCCAGAGACAACGAGGTGACTGGAATGAATCCTCCTGGGAACTCCATTAGTGGAAGATGACTCAAAGCACTTGACTGTAATGATAAGAGAAGGAGACACACAGCTGGTGGTGCAGCAACAACCCCCGGTTCCACTGGTCTTCCGAGTAAGCCTGTATTAAAACTGCTCCTAGGGACAAAGGGGGAAGAAGACCCTGCTCAGCTTCTATCTGAATTCAGATTTGTCTTTGTAGTTGGAACTAAGACCTAAGAGAAGTGACAGAGGTCCGGCACACTCCCACACAGGGACTTAGTCATTGTCACAGCGGAACTGTAACAGATGCCATCACTCATACAGAACAAAGCGATAAAGGGACACATACCAAATGTTAACAGCCATTATCTCTGGGATTACCTGGAAATCTTATTTCCTTCTGGCTGCTTTCAGTTTCCAAAAATGTCTACAATGGATACAAATTCCTTCCATAATCCACCCCCTAACAGAACATTACTGTATTTAAAAAGGTAAACTGACTGGTTAAAATAAATTCCTAATGTATACACCCAAAACTGTGCTATCAAAAGGGTTGTTTGGAGGGGTTGTGCAGTGAAGTAACTGAAAGCACTCTGGAGCCAGGTTACCTGGGTTCATCTCTCAGCTCTGACACTTAGAAGCTGTTGTGACCTTGGAGAAATTTCTTAACCTTTCCGTGCTTCCATTTCTTTATAATATGAGAATAATAATACCTTCCTTAAAGGGCTGTGGTGAAGATTAAATGAGTTAACATATAAGAAGCCCTCAGAACAGGGTCTGGCAAGTAGCAATTACTTACTACTTATTACAAAATACTATTACTTATTGCTACAGTGCTGCCCTTCCTCAAGATATTTTTGGACCACCTTTTGGGAACCTAGTCATTAGTCTTAAATGCATTCTCTTGAATCACCTCAATAAGAACAAAACTTCTCCTTCGAAAATGTGCTAATTCTTAGGAGCAGTCAAGCAGTTTGGGGTCCAAAATAAGGTGTATTTAGGAAACCAACAGGTTGTTCTATTGTTGGTCATCTGCTGTCTATGAAGAATTCCATCAAACATAGCTGCAAACACACACACCAGATAGTTCAGCACCATCTAGGGCTTGATCAATCCCTGGGTAACTAATAAGTTCTGCGTCTGCTAGAGAGAGGTTGAAAAACGTTTTAATTATGAAACCTCTTTGATAGATCCTGAAGGCTTTACAGATTGGCATGTAACCAAAGGGCAAATTTCATAAAAGGCTGATTTACATTTAAATCCTCGTCTTTTTTCTTCCTCAAAGTTTGCTGATGCTGAGTTTTCAGTATGAAATGTCATTGTTTTCATACAAATATTCCCAAACATTACCAATTGTCATTTTGGCATTAAATAGGGTTGCAACATTACAGTTGTAA